CATAGGTGAGGCTGAGATTCCCAGATTTTCTGATTTGACTTGGTTGCTGATTATAAAGCCTCTTTCTTTCTCTAATTTCTAGGTGTGGTAGTATCTAGAGTCTATACTAGTGCAAAAACTACATGCATATGCTACCCCATAACGCCAGCAGATGCACACACACACACACACACACACACACACACACACACACACACACCCTAGTCAAGTGCTCTGCTCATAAAGTTAGCAGCCTGAAGTACAACTAAACTTGGAGTTAGCAGGCCTGCTTGAGCAGGTCACCTGCTCCTGGCCCATTTGTGACTCTTAGGTTGAATTTAATCATACCTTTGAATGACTAAATGGGCCCTTTCTCAAGCAGGCAGTTTAGTTATTAATTTTTATCAGTTGGTTTATTCACATGTATAAGGATGGGAGTTATGGGAAACAGAGACATGTTCCCAATATCTGTGGCTGGAAAGAGACTCAGTCTAAAGCTAGTAGATTCAAGGGTTGTCATTGCTAAGAATTGCTAAGAATAATAGCTTTCTTTATGCCATGTACTGTGCTTTGTAAGTTATAATGTCATCAGGGGCAGATCCAGGCTTTGTAGGGCCTGAAACCTATACAACTTTGGGGACCCTCTTTAAGAAAAACACAATTTGACCTTTCCCAGGGTCTTTGAAAGGGGCCATTCAAATAATGATGGACGCTGAAGCTCAAACTTCATCAGTTTCACTGTAAAGCCACCTGTGTATCTTATTTAATCTTTTTGACAATTCTTAGAGGTACTAGCACTATGCTTTTTAAAAGAAATAGGTGAGGAAACTGACTTTTAGAGAAATGAAGTTACTTGTCCAAGGTTGTATAGCTTTTAAGCAAAGTTGTTGGTTTTCTCCCATTATCTCCTTCCAGGCTTTCACCTCTCAGCTAACTAGATTATCTTCTCCAAAATATCCTTATCCTTTGCTGACAGTAACCTTAGCACTGTCCTCTGGGATGTGTGAGGAACTGAACACTGGTTCAATATTAGCAGAGGGGCAAAAGGCCTCCTTCTAGCTGGGCTCAGAGGGGGAATATGCCCTCTGGGGAACTGCAAAGCAAGAAGAAAGTGGGTGAGGAAGGCAATTTTGTTCCCATTAGACCTGAGCTATGCACTGGTTTCAGCTATATTTTTGTTGTTTCATGAACAGTGACTTAAGAATGCAGGCTTTTCAGTTTATACACTGCTTGACTTCCCTCCCCTCCCCAGATCAGCTCTACCCTACTGGGCCCCCAACTCCCTTCACACCTCCCTCCCTTCTTCCCTTCACCCTATTCTGCCCTACCTTCCTCTCCACCCCAGCTCCCCAAGCCTTCTTTTTGTTGTTGTTCTACTGGGAGCAGGGAGGGTGGAGTCCTCTTACTGAGGCTTTTCCTTCCCTCCCTCCAACCCTCAGACTGGGCTCCACCCTAGTAGTTTGTCAGCTGGCTTTCAATAAAAGGAGGAGAAGGAGGAGTTTGAAGAGGAGGTACAGGAAGAGGGAAGAACAGCATCTATATTATAGGCCTTGACACATGGAGTGTCTGCATATTAGCTGTTGTTCATTAGGCTTTGTGATTAATTTAACTCTTATAATCCTAATTGGCTTTTTGAGTATATAGAGGAAAGCACCGGTTGCTACTTCAAACAGGCAATCTCACTAAGGCTTATGGGTGGATGGAAGGAATTGAAGTTACTGCAGGTCTCTATTTGGTTTATTTCTAAAACCAGCTAATACAAAGGAGAGCCTGTGGTACTTCCTAGAAGGAAAAGGAAACTGATCACAACTTCTATCCATACGTGTTCCCCCACACCCTTTCCTGTGACCCATACAACACCATGCACATGCTGATTATTTATGTGTCAAGAGGTAAAGAATATAAAGAGAAAATCCTGCCATAACTGTGATTATGGAGTACATAGTACTCTGTGAGCCATCTTTGAGTCCTAATTTGAGACAGAAGCCAATTCTAAAAAAACTAGAGGGAAATACAAACTAATGTGCATTGAGACACTAAGGCTTCATGGGATAAAGTGACTAATTTTTAAAGAATGTGTAGAGAGTTGTATACTTCTCTATATAGTTCCATGTGGGTAGATGTAAGTCCGGGGAGAGGAAATCCTGGGGCAAAATACCTCTAAAAACCGAAATCAGTCAAAGGGAGAAATTAAGTTTAAAACCCATTTATTGCTTACAAACTGCAGTCCAGCGCTGTCTCTCTCTCCGTGCTCTGGAAGAAGCAAGCTAGCAAGCAAGCCAGCTCCTCCCCATAACCTGTCAGGTTCGGACACGCCCTTGGTTGCCCAGGTAATTGCCCATTGATACGGAGATGAACTCTCCACCCCTGAGGATATGCAAATGAACTAAAGCCAGGTGAGATACTCTGGAAATGTTACAATTCTTCTACCCACATATATCTTACCTTGTAAGCTGAGCAGATGGTGGAGAAATATGGCATTGTGAGACAGGGAATTCTTTAAAAAATCCTTACTCTAGGGATATTCCTTCATTCAGCAAATACACGTCCATGTTCCTTAATCTTTGTCCCTTACTTTCCTTATCTGTAAAATGGGAATAGTAATACCTACCCATAATGTTGTCAGAGCTTGTTACATATTTAATGCTCAATAACTATTATTATTGTTAATAATAATACCTGGCACCCAGGTTACAGGAATGATAAGACCTGGTACCTAAACTCAGGAACTTTATAGTCTAGTAGAGGGAGACACTTATATCAACAAATGTTTGTCCTGAGGTAGAAAAAGGTACAGAGGAAGCAGCGGTCAGTTTTGCTGAAAGGAATTAAGTAAGGCGGGGAGATAATCTTGAGTTAGTCCTTTCAAGAAGGTGAACAGAGATCTTAGGCCATTTCAGACAGAGAAAGTGAGGTAAGCCAAGCATAAAGGATGGAAACAGCCTGGCATTCTCAAGGATTTGTAATATAGGTAAGGCCCAGGAAAGCAGAGATAGGCAAGGTCTAGATTATGATAGGTTAAAGGATGACTTCCAAGATGTTGGGGTGCATGGTGATGCCATTTGGATGGTTGGTGAACTACAGGAGGAAGAAGAGTTTGGGGCAGAGTAAGGGAAGACGACATGATTAGAAGACATTCAGGCAGAAATATCAAGCAACTGGCGATATATGTATTGGGAAGTACTGGGCTCTGAAGCTCTATTTCCTTGTTTTTTAAAAGGAGCTTGGAGAGTATAATAGTACCTATGTTCCATGGTTCTTACTAGGAATAAATGAGAAATGATGAATGTAAAAGTACCTGGCCCAGTGACTTGCCCATATTAGGTGCTGAATACACAGGAGTTATTATTATTTCTCCTGTCTCTTTGCTGCCTCCCCTCCCTCTGCTTCATTTCTTGTCTCTCTTCTTTTTCCTCCTCTTTGAAAGAATTGCGCTAGGGAAGAGGCCCTGGAAAGGGCCTGTGGTTGTTTGTGTCTTCCTGGCCTACTAAAATGAGCTAGAGAGGGACTTTCAGGCAACAACGGCAAAGAAATCCTGGAAATGTGGCTGTTATCCTATGGACTCAGCTCCACAGGGATCTTTGCCAATGCCTGGCTGAGAGGCGGTCTCTCGGGGTGGGGGTGGGGTGTGGGGGGGTGAGAACTCTATTCTTAGAAGTCTGGTATCTGGGACACTAAAAGAGCCTTTCTGTATTCACAATTCCTTCAACGCCTCCTTCTCCACCCACCCATCCTTTCACCCTCACCTCTTTCACTTATCTGTAGCTAGAAAATGCCCCTAGCTCCATTCTTCTTTGCTCTTAGTCCTTCCCTGAGAAGACACTGTGACCTCTCTGTCCTTGCTGCTTTCATACTGTTACCATGGAGAGCTAGGAAGGTAAATATCGCGTCCAGTTGCCAGCCTTCTTGATTTTCCCTTTCCCCATTCCTCTCTTCCTTACCGCCCCCACCCTCAATCCCCTCATCCCTTTCACCCTTCCCTGGTGACCAAGCAGTGTACTTGCAAGCCTCTGTCTGGGATAGATAAGGAACTGAAACTGATTCGAGTTATACCTGCTGCTGTTGAACACAGAGAACAGCGGCCAGGGGCGCCACTGATGCTCTCAGCACAGGGCCCGGCCCCACCCCCTCCTTTCTCCTTTCCCGGTCTCAGCCCCACCCTTTTCCACCTCTCCCACTGAGTACTCTCCTCTAAAGGCTGCTGTCCTTTTTAAGGAACTCCACCCTCACTATAGTCATACCTCTCTTTTCTGGGTCTAGTCAAGCAGGAGACAGGAGTCACCCCATCCACTCAAGTTGTCCAGTAAGCACTTTAGGTTCTGACCCACGTAAGTGCAACGTTTACCATGGGGGCAGCTAGGTGCCTCTAAGAAACCTCTCTCCAGAGGACCAACATGAGTTGTTGCCATTTTTCGCTGAAGCCCATGCCCTAAGCTGGGGGTGCCCCTATATGTTTCCACCAATTGTAGGCATTTGCCCCTCCCTTCTTTCTTTTTAGGAAGGCGCTGGGGTGTGCAGCTGCAAAGGTGGCAGTAAAGGGATCTTTTGTGGTATTTTCTGGTTGGTTCCTGTCTTGAAGGAGTCCTCCGCCTCAACTTCGTATTCAAATAGTGCTTTGGAATTTGGGTTGGTTTTCTTAGCTCCTACCCTGGCCCTCTTCTCAAGGGTGTGTGGAGTTCAGACGACGGGTGGAGAGTGGGCTTGGCTGGAACTGAATTGGTGGAGGTGAAAGAGGAACGGAGGATCCTCAGTCTAAACCACTTAAGGCCCAGAGAACCCACTGTATTTTTAGCCTAGGAAAAGAGCTGCATTGGCTGCGGGGGGTGGGGGGTGGGGGGACTCATTTTAGGAAGTCAGCTTCGCTACCCTTCCCTCTTCTCCGCGTTTGGGGCTGGATGCTCGAGAGCTTTGTTTCCCTTGTTTCGAGAGTGGCCCAGCTGGGTCTGAAAAGACTCCCCCTGCTCTGGCCCCCCTCCCCATTTTTTAGCCTGGAGAAAAAGGGGAGGTGGGGGCCGAGAAAGAGAAGGAGTGAGTGAGTCGTCTGGCGCGCTGTCAGACAGGGGCGGGTGTGAGGGAAACAGCTGTCTTGCGATCAGCTCAGGAGTATGAGCCTTTCGGAGGACTGCATGAGCCCAGGACGCTTCAGGAGTCCCCAGCTAGTGACATGGGCGGTAAGTGACTCCGAGATTAGAAACCACCCACTTCCATCTCTTCCGTCTAGATTCTATCCCCTACCCCCACTTCTCTTTTGGTTTTGGCAGCGATGGGGGGAGGAGGAGTGGTGTTGGGGAGCGAAGGGTACGAACAGTACGTGGAATCAAATGAAATTCAAGGGAAAATGACTTTGCTGAAGGTCTGAGCAAAGAGGGACTAGGGATGGGAGAGGTACTTTGGAGAGGCTAGCGGGAGAAATGAAGAGGGGTAAGAAAAGACGGATTTGTCTAATTTAGTCCGCCCTGGCGCGGGGTGCTCTCATTTCTTATTAAGCGGTAAGGTTTGTCTTTGACTTAACCCCTCACAGCCAAAGTTGCAGCCAGAGAGAATAGGATTCAGAATGCCAACGCTCCCAGGTAACCCCCTAAGCAGTAGCGGGCACTTAGCGGTACTCCTAAAAGGAAGGAGGAGGGCGCAGGGGTTAAGGTTCTAGTTGAAGCGACGAGGCCCAGGAGGCAGCAGCGGGAGAGGAACTGCTTTGGGCGTGCCGGCTCTTTAAGGAGGGGCTGGGCTTGGTTGGAGGAGGAAGCCTAGGCCCTGCCCTAGCTCTTTCAGACGTGGCCAAGGCAGTTGGTTCGTCCGTGTAGGTGAAAGATTGAGTAGAATTGCTGAGATTGCTGAAGCCAATCAATTTGCAATTGTGACTTAAAAAGCTGTCTTTTGTGGGCTTTTATTTTTTTTAACCCTGAGAATTCGGGGATAAGTAAATCACAAAGCAAATAAAATATATTCTTTGGAAAAATAAGTCCAGATAGTCAAAGGAATGATCCTTTAGTTAATTATTTTCTTCATTGTAAAGAAAAGCATTAATTTGGCACCTGTCTGATGTCACTCACTGTGACAATAACTGGTCAAAGATAACTTCTAAATTTAGGTTTGATACTGATGGAGACTGATGGTTTGGGGTAACAGATCTTCTTTGAAATCCTGATACCACCACTTACTAGCTGTGTGACCCTAAGCACTGCTTTTCTCCTTTAGAGAATGTGGATTAATATTCTTATCTCAAAAGATATTTGGGTAGATTAAATACCACAGTGTATGTGAAAGAGACTGCCACTCCATAGATATCATATTTTCACTTCCTTTTCCTACTCTGTGAGACTATCTTTGGAACACTGCTGATAGAATTATGTGCTTTGCTTTCCTTAAAACACCTTCCAGATTGGCTGAAAGGAGACCTCAGAAAATTGAATTAGCTTGCCCAAAGGCTGACGCTGGAACACAGGTTTTATTTGCTTCTGATTTAACATTGTTCCCACTGTACCTTAGCACCTGAGAGAAAGAGCCACTATCCTGCCTTTCCCCTTATTCTTTGGGCAACTTAGCCAGGATGATATAACTAAGAGGACCTTTGGACAACAGAAACCATTGACCCACAAATCACCTCATCCCATTCTTCAGAATTTTAGGGAGAACACTTATATATAATGATTGTTAGTCTTTGGTAACTGCTGGGGACACACAGAATGGGCTATCACCTGTGTCTTCAGGTTAGCTTAAAGGGCAGACAGGCAGAAAACATAGCAAGGATGGAAAATATAAACTCAAAAGTAAAAGCGACACATGCATCTCATCCATTCTCAAAACCAAACTAGTTAATGGCTCAACTTTCATAACTTTGGGAGCTATAGATCTCTCTTCTTAGGATTTCAGGATACTTAAAGAGAAAATTGGAGGAAAAAACATGAACAAGATCACCATAACTGCTTCTTCATTCCCCTCCCCCATCATTCTAGTATATGCATTTCTAAGATGGGGCCCTTATTGGTTCAGCTAATTGAGTTCCAATAACCAAGCCACCAAGCTTAGTGTAGTCATCTTTCATCTCTCCAAATGGTATGTGTCTAGTGGTGAAGGAGATCAACCATTTATCTTTTCTCATTCTGGCAGGGGCATTATTATTATTTGACACTTTTATATATTTACCCTTGTCTTGAGTCAATTGTAGTTTATTACATCAATTAAACTGATGAAGAATGAAAAGATTACCTTTGGATATATAATTCACTTACCAAGTATGTGTTGTTATACTGTCTATCAGGCATTAAGAAAATTGTTAAAAATTCACTTTCTACTCCTTCCATCTTAAATGTGTTCTTTTTGCCTTACCCCTGTCTAAACCCCAGCCTTTCAAGTCCTATTTTAGTCCTTACCCTCAGCTATTCCTTAGAAATAATACATCACTGTCTGTTCTGCTCACTTGATACTTACCATAAATGAACTGTCTTGTAATGTACTTGTTTTCCTGATTTTTCCTTTAAACAGTATTTATATTATTCCCTCCATTATTAATCTCAAATCAAATGCTATTTCTATGAAAACTTCCTTTATCCTTGCATACAGAAATAAACTCTTTTGAATTTCTGTGTCACTTTACCCTCATTATCTGGCACTACACTACTGTCTTCCCTTTATTACGGTCATTTGTATACAGATTTAAACCCCTACCTCTTTTTCAGACAGCAAGGTGTTTTAGGAAATGGTCTATGATTATATCTTCAAACTACTTAACTGATTACTTTCTTATGTAATCACTGAGTATATATTATATAGATGATCATCTGGGATTCAGCTCCAAACTGTCATGTTTTTATCAGTGAAGGAAAACTTGGTTGGGATGATTGACCTAGATGATCATCTAGTACATTTGCCATCTCACTACTAAGTAAAGTGTGAATGAATAACACTGTCATATTGGGCTCATTCATTTACCCAAAGATGATGTGAGACTTGCTTGGTTTACTTTCTGGTTCTCATAATGTTTTCAATTTGGGTTTTACACTCAAAGTTGGGTTTCTGATGCATTTATTATCACCAACTCAGCTTTATCATCTAGTGTCAGCTTCCTCACCTCTAAAATGATACAGTAATTTGTGATTTTAAATAATGTTAGTAAAAGATGACCAATGCCTGACTTCTAATACTTATTTCATAAGTGGAGGGCTCACCATTCTTGTTACTTTGAATAATTTATTTTATTTAAATGTTGATTGTGTGTTTGGAAAAGAGGAAGGTAGATTAGTGGGATATTAAGCTGGATTTAAATGTCTGTAACATGCTAGGTGCTTTGGAAAATAAACTAAAAGATGTACGTGTACTTAGACAAAATAGATATAATTGGGGCAAACCAAACTCTGGGATTATTAAGCACTTTAGATTACGGAGCTATAACCTAACTCTAGGGCCAATCCAGGTATCAAATCACTAGCATTTTGACATTTTATAACCTCAAATTCTTCAGTTCTAAAATACAATCCAAATCTGTCATTACTCCTAGATTTTTCCCTGACAACTTATTAAAGACTTTTTCACTTCCCTGGTTTTACAATTTACCATCACAATATCTCTGGTGAAATTATTTAAATGCTGCACTTGAGTTCTCTCATCTGTGGATTAAGGATAATAGAAACTATATAGGGTTGCAGTAAGGAATAAATGTGTTAATTTTGTAAAACACTTAAAAGAATACACGATAGCTTAGTAAGCAATGGGGAAATATGGTTGTTGTGGTTTCCTTACTCCATACTCAAAATGCTATTTCCTCATCTACTTAATTGCCAAGGGCTATTGCTTTTTCCCATTGTATCTGGCATCAGTCCCTGTCTTCTTATTCTGCCACCACCTTAATTTAGTCCAGAGGTACAAACAATTAGCCTAAAGGCCAAGTACAGCCCATAGACATGTTTTGTTTTCAGTAAATTGTAAAAAACTTTTATTTAAAAATGTATTTTAAATTTGTAATGTATTCCACATCTCTCAAAATTGACATTATACAAAGGGATATACAGTGAAACATATCCCTCCTAGTCCTGTTCCCTAGCTGCCCATTTTGCCTCACTGGAGACAATTAAAGTTATCTGCTTATATTTTCTTCCCCTTTCCTTTATACACAAATAGTAGCATACTTTTCATACTGTTCTACACATTGCTTTATCAACTTAAAAATATGCTTTGGAGACCTTTCCATATCTGTATGTAAAGAAACACCTCATTCTTTTGTGTAACTACATAGTTTTGCACTACATGGATGAGCTAAAGTTTATTTAAACAGTCTTCTGTTGAATGACCCTTGAGATATTTCCAAACTTTTGCAGTGCTGTTTGTAATAGCAATTAACAAAACTTTGTAAGTATGTGTATTAGTGCTAGGGCTACCATAACAAAATACCATAGATTGGGAGGCTTAAACAACAGAAATATATTTTCTTACAGTTTTGGAATCTGTAAGTCCAAGATCAGGGTGCCAGCATGGTCCAGTTCTGGTGAGGGCTCTCTTCCTGGTTTGCAGATGGCTGCCTTCTACCTGTAAGTTTACATGACCTCGTCTTTGTGCTCATGGAGAAAGAGAGTGAACTCTCTGGTGTCTCTTCTTACAAGGACACTAATTCTATTGGATGAGGGCCCTATGCTTACCATCTCATTTAACCTTAATTACTTTCATAAAGGCTCTATCTCCAGAGACATTCACATTGAGGATTAGGGCTTCAACATATGAATTTGAGAGAAATACAGTCTCTATATATGCACACTTTTAAAAAATGGTTGACTGTTGATATTTGAAAATCATATTTTACTTAAAATTATAGAATTCTAACTTCTCTTGAATAATCAAAAGATACTGGACCAATATACCATCTTGTCAATAATTGCCTAAAATTAATAAACTGCTCCAAGACAGGACATATATTCTTAGTTCACCATATTCCCCATCCAGCCTAGGTGACCTTAACTGTCTAGCTCCTCTAGGTACTGAGTTTGTGACACCATATAAGCTGTTACCATGATACTTATAGGATATTGCAATAGCTTCCAGTTCTACCTTGATCCTTTCTGCCTTCTCTATTCTGTAGACCCCTGCCAAGGTATCTTCCTTAAAACACATTTTTTAAAAGAAATTATTCCAGTCTCTAGAAAATATATTGAATAGTTATGTAGCATGTTTCTATGTTGACAGA